GCCGCGGCTTCCGCAGAAAGCGGAGCCTCCTCCAACAGTACATTAACACACACCTTGCTCGGCCAGATGTCATAGCGCTTCAGGAGCCCGAAACGCCACCCATATTTTCAAGTTATGAGTCCTATAACAGTCAAACAAAGGGCAAAGCGGCCATCCTGATTGACAAAGCGCTAACCGCAGTTGGCATAGACAATATCCCAGACACCAACATAGAACATGTGATTGTGGAGCTAGTTCTCAGGCAAAAAAAGAAAGGAGAAAAGCGAAGTATCATCATTGTCAACGTATATAGTGCCCCAAAGCAAAACCACTGATTTCCATGCCCTCGTCCAAGGTGCCTGCCGATTGGCCCAGGGAAAAGAACTCTTACTGCTCAGCGACTTCAACGCTCTCGACGAACGCTGGGGTTACAACCATTCGGATGTCAAAGGCAAACAGCTTGCGGCTGCCACTGAAAAATTTCAGCTTAAACTGCTTACGGATCCCGCGTTCCCTACCCGGATCGGTAACAGTGTGTGCAGGGACACTTGCCCCGATCTCACCTTCGCCCGTGGCCGTGCAAACTATAACTGGGACAACCTGCAGGAATCCTTGGGCAACGACCACTTCATTCTCTGCACAAAAGTTACAGAGAGCGCAGCGCGTCGGTCTATTGGAGAAGCACGCATCACAAACTGGGACGCCTTTCGTCGTGAGAGCGAACATTCACTCAACAGCCTAACAAGCCTCACTGACTGGTGCACCCAACTTAAAGAAATTGGAGAGCGTTGGACCACCACCATTAACAGAACACCTGCACTGCCGGAAGTGGACGGCCATCTGCTACATCTGTGAGAAGCCCGAAGGAGCCTCATCCGCAGATGGAGGACGCAAAAACATAACCGACGCCTCAAGCTAAGGATCGCCACACTCACCACTTAGGCCGAGCAGTACGCTACAGAACTGGCGCGACTCAATTGGGCCCAGTTTAGCGACTCTCTTCGAGGCTCATTGGGCACGGCCCGCACGTGGCACACTTTGCGCGCTTTGATGGACCCCACTCGAACAAAAAAAAGAGACGAATAAGCCAGTCATGCGCCTCATACACGCCTTTGAGGGTACTGACGATGAGCTGCTGGATCAAGTCCGGCGAAAATGCTTTGGGGATTTCCACCCACCCGCATCTCAGGCTGTGTATCGTGAACGTGCCAATGACACTCTCGACCGACCAATAACAGTGGACGAAGTTTACGCAGCCATTCGCAGCAGCAATCACAACACAGCTGCTGGGGCAGACGGAATCACGTACTCTCTTATCAGGAACCTCAACGACAGCGCCGTAAAAGAAATCACGGCGTTTTTCAATGATCATTGGTAACGTGGCACGCTTCCTCCTGAATGGAAGCACGCGGAGGTCATAATGATACCGAAGCCGGGCAAAAAACTTCAGATCGAAAACCTCCGACCAATATCCCTCACTTCCTGCCTTGGTAAACTCTTCGAGTGCGTCATCACTAATCGCGGGCAAGATTACCTTGAGGACAATGACCTTTTCCCGCACTCAATGTACGAGTTCCGGGCACATCTTTCAACGCAGGATGTACTGCTACAATTAAAAGAAGTCATTGATAACTGCCCCCCAGCAAGGAGAAAACATTATCTTGACATTAGACATTAAGGACGCAGTTTGATAACGTTAGCCACCAGGCCATACTTGAGGGCCTCGAGGCCCTTCATTGTGGGCAGCGCGTCTACAGTTATGTTCACGCCTTCTTGTCAGGACCGCACTGCCACAGTCGGTCTCGGCTCCATCCGATCACATGTTATCAGGGTTCCGAACAAGGGCACCCCGCAGGGCCTCAGTGATTTCCCCGCTACTCTTTAATGTAGCTATGGTTGGCCTGGCACATGAACTCCACCGCATCGATGGCATTCATCACGCAATGTATGCGGACGATATCACCGTCTGGGCCACGCGGGGGTCCCTTGGAGAAAAAGAATATAACCTGCAGCAGGCAGCCACATGCGCCGAACAATACGCACAGGCACGAGGCCTGGCCTGTGCAACAGAAAAATCTGAGCTTCTACGAATTTATAGACGCAGGCTCCCACCATCGGCGCAGAACAACCAAGGCTCCCGCCTCCAGGTCGTCCTTGCTGGCAAACACATCCCAGAGAAATCCATCATTCGAATACTAGGCATGTGGGTACAGTCGAACCGCCATGTGAATCACACAATTGCCCTTCTCCGCACCACTACACTGCAAGTGGCCCGAATGATATCTCCCGTAGCCACTCGTTGCCATGGCATGCGTGAGGAGGACACCCTGAAACTCATACGTAGCCTCGTGATCAGTAGGGTGACATACAGTTTGCCCTACCGACGCTTCACCAAGAGCAAACAGGGCCAAGTAGACGCAATGCTCCATAAGGCCTACAAAGCGGCACTCAAGCTACCACCAGGTACTCCTTCTAGCAAGCTCCTCGCATTGGGCCTACACAACACCTTTGAAAAACTTTGTGAAGCGCAACTCGCCACACAGCTGCAACGGCTCACGCAAACACCTACAGGCCGTGACCTGCTCCTACGCCTTGGCTACATCAGCCAGTTTCACGACGCAGCTCGTCGCAAGCCCATTCCGGACCAACTTCGTGCCACTTATAAGGTCGCTCCCATCCCCCGCAATATGGATCCCCGACTACATTAGGGCCGGAGGGAAGCCAGAGTGGAAGCCCTCGAGCGAACTTATGCACACAAGAACACTACGTACTATGTTGACGCCGCCAACTACAACCATGCAAACAGTAAGGCTGTAGCCACAGTCGTGGACCACACACTCACAGAACGTACCAGCGCTTCCGTGCGGCGCCACAACATCACCGATGCTGAAGAAACTGCCATACGCTCGCTCTCGCTATCAGCTACAGACAACGAAGGTCGCTGACAGTTCTCACGGACTCTCAAGCAGCTTGCCGCAACTACCTACAGGGGCGCATTAGCCAACCCGCTCTCAACGTCATCATGAGCGTTACAGACACTGGCGAGCATTCCATTACACATCCACTCAGAATTTGGCATCGGATTATATGGACTCCGGGCCACATGGGACTAAAGGGGAATCAGGCAGCGGACAGGGTAGCTCGAGGGTATGCGAGCCGAGCACCTTCCAACTCCGCCCCTGAGGAACTCGTTCCGGTCCCTTGCGACTATTTGGCCATCCTAAACCATTACAGAGGACTTAGGAAAGCTTATTCGCTACCACACCGAACACTGAATAAAGAGGAATCGGTCAGCTGGAGCCAAATTCAAACTGGCACGTTTACAAATTTGCATATCCTGAGCAAAATGCACCCCTCGGCATACTCTCCTCTCTGCCCATGGTGTTGAGCTAAAGCCACTCTGTACCACGTCACGTGGGAGTGTCAGGCCATTACAGCCTTACAACCAGTACAAAATCCAACAGCGGAGCGATGAGAGGAGCTGCTGGCCAGCGAGAACCTGGAAGATCAGTTGAGCCTCATCAACCGGGCCCGCAGAGCGGCTGCTGCAAGCAGGAGCCCTGGACTAAGGCCCCCCCACCGCAAGCCAAGCATCTCCGACTACTCGGAGCTTCTCCGCAGAAAATTTCATGTAAATAAATAATAAATACGTTTTCACCACCACCACCACCACCACATTGTACATATGTTAAGGTATAGTGCAGAAAATTAACAAGCTGAAAGTCTGCCGTCCTATTTTTTTACTTATTTTTTCTAGTCTCTCAGTTCGTGCCTCTATTTCCTCATGAAACATTATACAACTTTGCAATAAGCCTCCTGCTCTGATAAGAACTGTTTCCATTTAATTTTTTTACCAGAAAATGCAACTTCTTTCAGCCTACCTAAAAAGTTACACATGATGTTTTATGCGGCACACCTAGAGATACACTCAAACCTCATTACAGTAAAAGCTCATTTATCTGGATATCGTTAGTCGAAATTCTGTTTACTTGGACACGCGGTGCAGTCCCGGCAAAACTGTGTATATTTCAATGGTGTCAAATGCTCTTTAATCCGAAGGGATTTAAACGCGCACCAGTTAACTCGGACAATTCCAGAGAGGGCTATCGGGGCTCCATGCTTTCAGTGACCGATTCCAGTTACTGAAAGCATGGAGGGTTGGCTCCGCCACCGTAATTGACGGTGGAACCAAAGTTTTGGAGAAACTGAAACCAAACGAACGGAAGCAGAATATGATCACGATGATAGTGAATGAGGGGGGAGGTGGCCAGGTAGCGCTAGTCACCACCCGGCGAAAGCAATGACGCCGCATGCACGAACAACGGGACAGCATGCACGAACAACGGGACAGTTTGCACAGCCGCCGCTACCCAAGTTGCCTGCAACACCTACGCTGCTAATTTCCTTGCGTTGTGACTTCGCGCATAGCATTTGCAGCTCGGGTACATCAAAGAAGTTTGGCGAGTTGGCGCTTTGACATGAAAACCCTCGTTACATTGTCAGGCTGTGTTTGTGCGCGTTGATGATGGTGTGGCCGTTGCTGGTTTGCTCGCACCGTGCAGGAGGCCGCCGAAGCGCCCTCGCTGTCTTCGCGAAGTTCTTCATCGGCACTCGCGACAGCGAGCATGCACACCACCACCACATAAGGTTGAAGAAGATCGTTCTAGCACTAATTTTGATGACGAGGCAGGCAAAGTTGATGCAGTTTTTCATGAAATAAAGGTTTGTCTGTGTCGCGTACATTTTCTCTTTTTGTTTTGATGGTTAATTTAATAATCCAGAATTCTGTTAACTGCGATATTTACACCGGTCCCGTGAGAACCAGGTTAACGAGCTTTTACTGTACAACAAAGTCACACCTGCCATAAAAATATCTCGTTATATCTGAAAATTCGCTATAAGCACTGTGTTTACAACAAAGCTTTTCTTCATTTACTTCGTCATAACAGATAATTCGTTATATCTAGGTCTGATATATTGAGATATGAGTGTAATGCAAAGAAACACAGAGCGCTACAAACCTTTTCGACCAGATGTGAATCTTGCGCTTGTCGGTGACCATCATTTCGTAATACTGTTCGAGCTCCTGTCTGCACATAGTGGAACGCCTCTTTGCATATAGTCTCACTGACGAGGCTGACGTCGAAGCCATTGTGACGATTGAACTCCATGAAGAACTTCAACGCCCAGAAGTAATAGCCTTCGTCATGTGCCAGGCCTTTCTTGCGTATCAGGAAGCTCTGCAAAACACGTCCAATCATTGGCTCCTTCCATTTCAATAATTTCTGCATTTCAGTAATTTCTGTACAATATTTAGCACAGAAAAGGCTGGTTAGACCTAAAAATAAAGTATTTATTGTTATCTCTCCCTCTCTCCATTCCTTTCTTTTCCATTTTTTAAGATCAAAGCTCTTAAGCATGTACGTTTTACAAAAGGCCAGCTTTCTGCCGCTTGATCGGATACAGCCATGAGATGCGTGGTAGTGACAACCAAGAAGCTGCTATCACTAAGCTACGCCAGGCGAAAAAGACATTTCACAAAAATGAGTTCCCCCCCGCGTTTCCGCCACTCGCTAAGATACAGCCACAGGACAACCAAAGAAAATATGTGCTCCCCCCCCCCCCCCAAAAAAAAACAGCAGCACACCATGAAACAAGGCTTGTCTCTGGCGAGAATGCTGAGTACGAGAACGCTTGGCCTACAGAATGCTGAGTACTAGCGGTGCCATGCTCGCGCTTCTATTGGTGGTGCCAACGCGAGATTTTAATGCGAATTTCTTTCATTGAAATTTGGACATTCACGCCAAGTTTATGATTGGCTGTTCAAATCGAACTCGTCTACTCTCTGGTCGGTGTGATCTCCTGATAAGTGTGGGCAAGGCCTGTGAGTGCTGCAAGAACTCTTCCTTAATGGTGCATACATAAATACATAAAAAGTGCATTTATAAAAGGTATATATAAAAGGTGCATATATAAATAACTTGAAGAAAAGATAGTAAACACACACTGCCCCTCACACTTTAATAAGACACTGAAGAGTAAATTACTATTTCACAAATTCTAAATCACCTGCTTGCCACAAAGAGATATAGTTCGTAAGCAAGCAAATGTGCAAACAGAAAATCGAGTGAAAACTCCACCTTAATATTTCGGCACAAAACAGCGTGATGTCACAGAATTCGACAGTGACTGCTAGGTCAACGACTCCTAGAAAAAATCATGCCTGGGACATGACACGCAGAAGCACTGCCCTACTTTTTCTGTTACCCTCCTTTCCACTTGGCACAGTCACCATGCAACCTGCAGTGCGTTTGGCAACTTAAATAGATGACAACACGCAGGTCCACGGCAAGAATGCCAGCGTTGTTGAAACGAATGAATGGTTGATCAAACTAGAGCGCGATGAAACACATCTTGAATGCGGTAGTGATGTGACATTGTAAACGAGTTTAAAATGGTGCTGCAATATTAGATCATGAGAGAAGTAAACACACGAGAAAAAAGGCTACGAGGCCCGTTCTTGGGGAGCTTTTCTGGCTTCGATTTCGTGCAGTTCATGGAAAAGGTGACGTGTTATTGAGCTTTACGTTCACCTTGCCCAGAAATTCCAGTTTTGTTACAAGCCCGAACGCTAGTCGAGCCTCAGGAAAAATGTTGCAGATGGTACCTTCGGTGAGCAGTTTGCGGTGAACGGTGACTCAAGGCGATTTTGATAGATGACTGAGCGCCAACATGTAACCCTGCAGTGTGCAGCAAGGACTAACCAACTAAAATGCTGCCACAAAGTTGCTTGAAAGGAAACTTCTATAGCGAAATGTGCTTTAGCTTTAGCCAAACTTTCTGAAAGGAAATGAGAAGCACCTGCTAAACTGGCGCTCCTTCAGCATACACCCCGAGCGCGCAATCAAACGCCCGCACAAAGCAGCCAGCTAAACTGCTACCAACACAACGTTGCGAACACAGTCGTTCTTGCCAGCTCCGGTGGTAGAGTCGCTAGCACCACCACACAGTGCCCGCTCGAAAGCGCGTGGCAGCGTGCATCTAATGGCAAAGCTGACGACATCTCAGACATAGTTTTTTTTCTAGGACGCAATGGCTAGATCCTACTACAATAGACTCTCATTAAATGGAACCTAAATGAGCCGGTAAATTATTGTTATGAAAGAGAAGGGATGCCGTATCGACGAGGCTGTGGATGAAATATATTTCGAACCAGCAGCAGCGGCGTGGCCGGTTTACCAGACACCTAGCGGAGACCACTCTTCATCCTCTTCGTCAGGTACACATGCGCATCGTCCCACAAAATGTCAACTTGCATGTAGAATTATCTCCGGCAGCAGAAGTGCTGTCACAGCACATCTACATGTCAACGTCAGTGGGAGAGTAGTAAGGCTTCAAGCGTGCCACATGTACGATATCGATGGTCTGTGGGGCAGTTGAAGGCGATGAGGCAGCAGGGGCAATTTCGTATGTCACAGGGTAACCTCACGAAGGACTCGATATGGACCTGTGTAGCAGGAAAGGACAAGCCGACTTGACGGGTTGGGGACCACAGCAGCACCAATGAACCAGGAAAGAAGTGCACGTCCCGGTGCCGTTGATCGTACAAACGCCGCTGGTTCTCTTAAGAGGCCAGAAAGCGAGTGCGGGCGATTTCGCGTGCGTGGGCAGCTAGAGTAATAGCGTCAAGGGCATATTCGCTGGTGAGTGTCGCGGTAGACGAAATGACTGCATCTAGAGGTAATGTAGGTTCTCGGCCGAACAACAGAAAAAATGGGGAGTAAGCAGCAGTGTCATGGCGAGAAGAACTATATGCAAATGTCACGTATGGCAAAGCAAGGTCCCAATCAGGGTGGTTGGAAGAAACATATTTCGCAAGCATGTTTAAGTACTCGATACAGACGCTCCCTGAATCCATTTGTATGCGGGTGGTACGATGTAGTGAGCTTGTGCCTTGTTTCACATGACTAAAGGATATCGGCTATGGCTTAGATAGAAAGGTGCGGCCACAGTCTGTAAGCAGCTGGCGTGGAGCTCCATGTTGCAAGGTAACGTCCTTGATGAGGAAGTCAGTGACATCTGTGGCGCAGCTCGTTGGAAGTGCTCGTGTGATGGCGTAGCATGTGGCGTAGTCTGTGGGCACAGCTATCCAGCTGTTGCCAGAAGAAGATAAGAGAAAAGGGCCCAGGAGGTTTAAGCCAACGCAGAAGAAAGGTTCTGACGAAATGTCAAGTGGTTGAAGGTGCCCGGCAGGAAGCGTCAATGGTGTTTTGCGGCGCTGACATTTATCACAAGCCGCAATGTATCTTCTGACTGAGCGTGAAAGCCCTGGCGAAAAGAAGCGTAGGCGAATCCTGTCGTAAGTGCGTGACACACCAAGGTGACCGCAATTGGAAGGTCATAGAGGTCGTGGAGAACTGCCGAGCAGAGGTGTTTTGGAATAACGAGCAGCTGGGCTGGTCCATTTGGGTAGAAGTTCTGGCGGTATAGGACACTATCGTGGAGGACGAATTAGTGATGGGACCTGTCAGAAAATGGTGATTTGAGATGTTCAATTATAGTACGCAAGGATGCATCACGGCGTTGCTCGTCACCGATGCGGGTCAGTTGCGAAATGGAGAAGACGCAAGTATCGGTGCCGGTGTCAGGGATGGTGCTCAATTCATCGACCGGGTAGTGGAAGAGGCAGTCTGCGTCCTGATGTAGGCGTCCCAACTTGTACATGACTGTACAAGTATATTCTTGCAGTCGCAGAGCTCAGCGCCCAAGCCGGCCAGTAGGATCCTTCAGTGACGAAAGCCAACATAGCGCATGGTGGTCCGTTATTACAGAGAAATTCGTGCCATATAAATATGAGCGGAACTTCGTGACTGCCCAAACAAGAGCAAGGCATTCATGCTCTGTTATAGAATAATTGCGCTCGGCAGCTGTGAGAAGGCAGCTAGCGTAGGCGATGACTCGGTCGTGTCCCCGCAGGCGTTGGGCTAGGACGGCTCCAATCCCGTGACCACTCGCATCGGTTTGGACTTCTGTCAAAGCGGACGGGTTAAAGTGGGCCAATATAGGTGGAGTCGTGAGGAGGGTGATGAGGGGAGAAAAAGCGGCAGCTTGAGTGGAACCCCACGTAAAAGTCACATCTTTCTTCAGAAGGTCGGTGAGTGGTCGAGCGATCGTTGCAAAATCTTTCATGAACCTTCTAGAATAGGAACAAAGTCCCACAAAACTCCGGACATCCATGACAGACTGAGGTACAGGAAAGCTCGTGACGCCACGAATTTTCCCCGGGTCATGCTGCACACCTGATGCGTCGACAAGGTGGCCCAACACCGTAATTTGCTGGCGGCCGAAGTGACATTTCGACGAGTTTAGTTGAAAGCCAGCAGTGCGGAAGATGTCGAGAACCGCTGACAAATGCTGAAGGTGTGTCTCAAACGTAGGCGAATATACAAGGACATCATCCAGGTAGTACAGGCATGTTGAACACTTGAACCCTTGTAATAGCGAGTCCATCATATGCTCAAACGTGGCTGGGTCGTTGCATAGCCCAAACGGCATCACATTGAATTGGTATAGGCTGTTGGGAGTTTCAAACGCAGTCTTTTCTTGGTCTTTCTCGTCCACCGCCATCTGCCAATAGCCAGAACGTAGTTCAATTGAAGAAAAGTATCGCGCGCCGTGAAGACAATCGAGGGCGTCGTCAATTCAGGGCAAAGGATAAACGTCCTTTTTCGTGATTCGATTAAGATGGCGGTAATCAACGCAGAAGCGCCACATGTCATCTTTCTTTTTAACGAGCACAACAGGAGATGCCCAAGCGCAGAAGCGCCAGGTGTCATCTTTCTTTTTAACGAGAACAACAGGAGATGACCAAGGGCTCGAGGAGGGTTCAATAATTCCTTCGGCTAGCATCTCGTTGACTTCTTCTTGAATTACCTTACGTTCTCTGGCAGACACCCGGTATGGTCAGCAGTGAATGGGAGGAGAATCAGCAGTATTAATGCGGTGCTTCACGAGGGAAGTCTGAACGAGTGGACTGCTGTCAACGTCAAATATGTCGCGGTAGGAAGACAGAAGACAGAATAGGGCATTGGTTTGGGCAGGTTTGAGTTTCGGGTCGATCACGGGGCGCAAGGCCGCATCGAGGAATGTGGCATCCTGTGGGTGACATGGAAGATCGGAGCATGCATCTGCCGCAAAAGCGGTGACGTGGGCGTCTATTAAGAGTCGAAGCGTGGCGACT